TTTCCTTGATGACGTCTCGGAGTTTTTGCAATTGATTGACATGTGGACTGACAAGCACCCTTCGATCGGGCGTCAGCCTCCCGTACCTCCCGTATCAACACGACCTTTTCCTTACAACGAGGAAAGGACGCGTGTATGTGAGTGAGACATACGAGAAGCTGTTGCACAGATCAGCGGATGATACTACTTCCCTCCGCCAAACCGTTGTTCAGGGTTCGTAGAGGCTGGGTTTGTGATTATCGACACCCACTTTCCACCCTACTCAATATTGTTGTCATTCAACGAGTTGATCATCATTCCGTGGACGGCAGTGGCGCCCCATTGGCCTCAAACCCTGTGCACAGAGTGCCAGCGTTTCGATCGCTACGAAGCAAAGGGTTTCCACTACCGAATACGGAGTGAAGACGAGCATAAGGAAAGAGCCACACGGCTGAGACCCTCCACATTCGACTCAGAACTGACCAGCGAGCGACGACGGGATGTGATACGAAAACGAGACACGCGAAGCGTGCCAAAGCCCTTCCGCTCTAAACGACGGGCTGTAGCACGGTGGGAAGCTCGACAATACTTTTTGGATTGAATTTGGATTTTTCTCTTTTCGCGCCGTGTCCGCGCGCGCCTTCCGCGACGCGCGAAAGCAACCGACTTACTTCATCGGACCAACACGGGGGATTTCAGTTCCGTCTGTGTCCCCACACTCAATTTCCAAAAATCCTTGGCACACCCCATCTTGCTGTTTTTCTGGGACTCTTTCCGCACATCTAGCACTCCGAACGAAAGACGGCATAGGGCGTGAGGTTGCGCGTCACATGAACAAGTGTTCGATGGTTTCTGCTCTCCTTCTTTTGGGGAAGGCCTGCAGGCACCGCGGGCACCAGGGGAGGGCCTGACCTTTCTCTTCCAGGTTTGTGTGGTCAATCAACCAGTTCATGGTGGGGAGGCAGCAGTGGGCAATCTGCCACGGCAGAGAAGTGACTTTTGCTGGTTTTGCTTTCCGTTCCTTAAACCAGGGGATTGGCGTGAGGAGGGAACTATCCACATTGAGATGATTTGCCCACCTATCGTTTATCACATCTCTCAGGGGTCTCTTGGGTCTGAGCATTTTATAGGTGGATTTGACAGTTAGTTTATGAAGGCTAATCTTCTTGGTAGGGCCTGTTTTCCTTCCCCTGGGATTCCGTTTCCATTTCTCTGGATCCAGAGGTAATTCGTGTATCCCAGTGGCCGGCTGAAAGGCCCGGGCCTCCTCTTCCTCGCCCAGGACCCGTCAGACCGTTCAGACTTTACCACTTTTGTTCCTTCTGGCGTATATATATATATATATATATATATATATGGATTTTCGATTCCAATCCGGTTGGTTGGCTCGGCCGAGCATATGGTCGCTTTATCTGGATGATACTACACATATCTTGATGGTTGTCAAGAGACAACCATCAGCAAGACCAGGGAATAAAATACCCACACTCCCCATCACACCCCATAGCACCCATGTTTATGGGTGCGGTGTGCAGGGCACGGCCAGCGGCTGCTGCTCTAGGGTCGGATTGTAGGCATCCGGTTCAGCAGAAGGGGAAGGGGGTTGGAAGAAGCAGGGTCGCATGACGAAGGGCATACACATACACTGCTTCCAAGGAAGGCAGGGAACGGAGAGGTTTGAAATTTTCTTTTCTTTTGTTTTTCTTTTCTTCTCTTCTTCTTCTTCTCCTTTTTTTTTTTTTTTTTTTTTTT